GGAGGGCGGGCAGCCGGCTGTCATGGGAAGGGCCCTGGGCAGCAAGCAGCCTCCTGCGACGCCAGGCAAACCCCTGCTGCAGCGGGGCTCAGGCACAGCTGGGCACCCCCTCGCTCTCCCAGGCACACATGCTGCCACAGCCTGCAGCTCACAGGGATTGGAAATGGCACAAGGACATTGCTTTGGATTCAGTCTGGCACAAGCAGAGGGCAAGGGGCAGCCCAGCAGCTGGTACGGAAAAGCCTCCAAAATGCTGTGCTGAAGCACGACCCAGGGTTCCGCAGACTCACCTGTTTGGTAGCCACATCAGAGAGGTTTCGCAGGGTCCAGAGACAGTTCTGGACCAGCCTGGGGCTGGAGCTGGTCAGGTGCTTGCCCAATGCCTGCATGCCGCCTGCCGGGGAAGGAGACACCAGCCCATCTGTAAATACCCAAAGCTGCCCCCGCAGAGAGGAGAAGGGAGAGACAGTGGGTCTGCGTGGTGAGTGGGGGCTGGGCACCACCCGACCAAGGCCCCCAACACATGATGCAGCCTCACGGCTTAGCAGAGGCTAAATGCGGTGTGGGAAGACAGCTCCCGGCTGGCCAGCCAGGCCAGATCCTGCCCATGCATGGTGCCAGGAAAGCACCTCAGCAGCCTTTCAGAGCAAGAAACCAGGCCACACGCAGGTGGTTTCACCTGGCTGTGCAAGGCATCTGCCAGTCTTGCACATCAGCTGTGAGATGGCACCCTCAGCTGCATCATCCTGACACCACCATCCTCCTCCTGTTTGACACCAGCTCTGCCACAGCCCCCCAGCCCCTCTTACCAGCCTCAACGATAGCAGGCTTGTTGCTGGGACACACCGACAGCACCTTGAGCACCCGGCTCGTGGTCCAGAGCAGCTTCTCATAGTTGTAGCTGCGCATGATCTGCACCAGGGCCTGGGGTCCTCCGTTGGCCAAAATAATCAGCTGCAAGACAGAAGGGCCAGGGTCGGGGCATGCGGCAGCTCTGGGCTGCTGGGACCACCACTCTGGTTTCCCCAGCTCATGCCAGGACACAAGTCAGGCAGGAGGTCCAACCCCTCAGCATGCAGGAGTGCTTCAGGTCACCCCCGCCGGGGCTGTGCACTGCCACCGACACCCCCTCCGGCCCTGCACACCGGGGTCCCTCGCCCCGCACCACAGGCAGGACGGGCAGCAGCCCCCTGCCCAGACAGCATCAGAGCAGGTCCAGGGACCGAACCTCCACACAAGTCTGGGACGACTGTTGCGGAGGAGGAGAGGAGCAGCCAAAGAACAAAGATAGAGGCATTGCCCAGAGCAGCAGGGGGAGAAATGCAGCTGAGCTGATCTACCGGCCAGACTGGGACAGTCTGTGCTTTCGGGGACGCTCCACCTGCGAGAGGTCAGATGCGGCAGTGCTGCAGACAGCACAACTGCTCTGCTGCTGGCTGTGGCTGGGGGGCACACGGGCCGAGACAGCGAGAGCTCCCACCCCTGTGCTCCCGGGCTTCTGTCTGCGAGGAGCAAGGTTGGGCAACCGGCCCCCTCCCTGCCTCCCCGGGCAGG